AAAAAAAAAAAAAAAAAAAAAACCATAGGGAAAACAAAGGTCCACAAGCTCCACTGACCCCGCCCACTGTGCATGGACCTATCAGACTCCAACTTCAGAGGACCCTCAAGAACGACCAGAAAGGTGCCCTAGTACCTCACCCCTGTTTTATTTCAAACCCTGTGGGACCCCTCACCCTTTTATTCTTCTTGGTACACTTTTAGTGTTACTTTCACCACCACCCCCTTTTTTTGTTTGTTTGGGATTTTTGTTTTAATTTAATTCAATTTTACATATCAGCCACGTTGTTTGGGATTTTATTTTTTGGTTTTTCAAGACAGGGTTTCTCTGTGTAGCCCTGGCTGTCTTGGAATTCACTCTGTGGGCAAAGCTGGCCTGGAACTCACAGAGATCCGCCTGTCTCTGCCTCTGAGTTCTGGGACTAAAGGCGTGCGCTATTATCACTGCCTGGCTTGCTTGTTTTTTGAGGTGACTATGGTTGAGATGTCATGTTTTTTTCTTTTCTTTTCCAATTTCTTGCTCTTTTCCCTGAATAACATTTATCTCACTCAGCTTCTGTCCCCATTCTTGTATTTAATCTTGCTTCTCTATTTTCCTGCCTCCTCCTCCTCCTCCTCATGTCATTCATTTACTGTTCCCACACTCCCTCTGAAAATGACCTTTGTCCCACACTCTGCAGTGGCTTTGCCAGTTTTCCCTTTGTGGTCACTGATGATCCATTAGTGGGCTGCACTTGACTTTAAGTGTATTTCTATATCTTGTCTGGCTTCTTGGTTTGTTGCTATCACAGAAATTTGCTTTCTCTCTACGGAGGGTACTAGAGATTAAGCCTTCAAGAAGATCCCCAAATAAAACAGGGAGAGTTCCTGGTGGTAGTGGTGGTGGTGGTGGTGGTGGTGGTGGTGGTAGTGGTGGTGGTGGTGGCGGCATACACCTTTAATCCCAGTGTTTGGAAGGCAGAGTTCGAGGCCAGCCTCATCTACAAAGCAAGTTCCAGGACAGCCAGAGATGTTACATAGAGAAACCCTGTCTTGTGGGGGGAAAAAAAGCAACCTAGTGGAAAATGTCAGAAATTGTGGGGAAACAAAAAACAAAACAAAACCCATGGAGCAGAAGAGGAAATAACTATATTGAAGATCAACAAGGAAATAAGCATCACCACACAAGGACCAAGAATTCTGGCACACAATCAAGAGACCAAACCTAAGAATCCACAGGATAGAAGTGAAGGTAAATTTTAAAGGGTTAAGAGATTCCACTCAATGAAATTATAAATATAAAAATTTCCTAAATCTAGAGAAAGAAAGATATCCGACATAAGAGGTATTAGAACCCTAAAGACAAGACCAGAGAAGAACCTCTCTAACATATTGTAGTCAAAATGTCAAAAATGCAAAGCAAAATAGAATTATAAGATGATATAACAATTGGAAACATGTTGAGGGCTATAAGAGGTCAGATAGGTCCTGATCCAATGGCAGTGGGTGATTCAACACACCATTTTCTTTTTTTAATTTTTTATTTAATTTTTTATTTATTTTTTTGGTTTTTCCAGACAGGGTTTCTCTGTGTAGCTTTGGAGCCTGTCCTGGAACTCAGAGATCAGCCTGCCTCTGCCTCCCGAGTGCTGGGATTAAAGGTGTGCGCCACCACCGCCCGGCTCAACACACCATTTTCATTCAAACTGAAACCTGAGTTAAATTATACTGCAGAGGCTGGAGAAATGGTTCAGTGGTGAAGAACACTTGTTGCTCTTGCAGAGGACCTGGGTTCTATTTCCAGCATCAACATAGTGGCTCACAACCAATTGTAATTCCAGTTCCATGGAATCTGACCCCTTCTTCTGACCTCTAAGGGCACCAGGCATGCACATGGTGTCCATACATACACATAGGCAAACCATTCATACATAAAAAATAATCTAAAAAAAAATCAAACTACACTGTAGATCAAATGAGCTTATTAGATACACACAGAATATCTATCTAACAGGTAATGAATATACATTCTTCTTAGCAGCCCATAAGCTTCTAGAAGAGAGATCACATTCTGGGTCACAAATCAAGTCCTAAATAATACAAGAGAATCTAAATAACTTCTTGTATCTTATCAAATTGATGCCATAAAACTAGAAATCAACAAGAAAACTACTAAAACCACACAAATATTTGGAGAGTCAATAATATACTTTTGAATGACCACTGAGCCACTGAAGAAATTAGGGAGGAAACTGAAAATTACCTAGAATCAAACAATGTGAGAATACAATTTACCAAAATCTTTGGTACACAGCTAAAGCAGTTGTCAGAGGAAAGGTGGTAGCTATAATAAGCACTTACCCAGAGAAATTAGATCCTCCCACAAAACAAAACAAAACAAAACAAAATAAAAACCTGGCAACGCACCTTAAGGTTCTAGGAAAACATGAATAGTCCAAACCCAAATGCAGGAGGACGAGAGAAATAATAAAGATCATGGCAGAAATTAATGAAGTAGAAACTAAAAAAATAATATATAGATACAATCAAAAAATGGATAAATTCCTAGGCACATAAGATCTGCCTAAAGTAAATCAAGAAGAAACAAATCCATTAAAATCAGTGAGACTATAGCAACCGTAAAAGGCCTCCCAACAAAGGAAAGCCTCAGGACTAGACGGATTGACTGTCAAATTCTACCAAACCTTTCAAGAAGAGCTAGCACAAATACTTTTATTAAACTATTCCATAACAGAAGGAAGGAAACAATGCCAAATGCATTGTACAAAGCCAGCATTATCATGACACCAAAACCCCATGACACAACAAAAAAAGAAAACTACAAAGTTCCCTGATAGACATAAAAACTTGCAATAAATTCTTAGAGTCAGAATTAAAGAACACATTAAGAAGATCAGACATGACCACGATGACTTCACTCCAAGGACGAAAGGTTGGTTCAACACACACAAATCAAAAGATGTAATACAATATATAAATAGTTAAGGACAGAAATCATGTATCACTGATGCAGAGAAGTATCAACAGTTGTCAATGAGGACTCTCGATAGTGGAGGCTAGAAACCATACAGTCAGTGGACTGGGCTTTAGACCTCACTAACAGTGTGGCCTCCTGGGAGGGGAGGAGAGAAGACAGCTCAGTGACAGGGTCATTAATTCAATGGTCATATCTCTGGAGCATAAAACCCCAATCACTTAGACACCAGTGCTGTGTAATAGTACCTGGATGGAGCCGGGTGGTGGTGGCACACGCCTTTAATCCCAGCACTCGGGAGGCGGAGCCAGGCAGATCTCTTGTGAGTTCAAGGCCAGCCTGGTCTAAAAAGTGAGTTCTAGGACAGGAGAAATATAAAGAGAAACCCTGTATCAAAAAAAAAAAGAGCACCTGGACGGCAATATTTGTGTACCATTATGGGATATGTCGGGAGGGTGTCATGCTCTGCTGTACAAGCATAAGATACAGAAGCTTATAGTCTCCAACCCTCTCAGCCCTGCCTCACGAGTCTCATCCAGCTGGTTCCCATTTGTATCCACTTTGCATTGTATCCATTTGGCTTCAAGACACTGATGTTTGAAGCTGAATGGTTTGCTGAGTTTTATGATTCATTCTGGTGCCGTACTGAACCTATAGGAATCATGGAACATTAGAACTTGTAACTGTTGTCTAAAGTAAAGGGAACTTTCATTGAAGACTTAGGTGAAGTGTGGTCTAACTTCAGGCAGTTATTCTCTGAAGTCCTTGTAAACTGTATCATTTTTAAAGGAGATAATTTAGACACAGGGAGAGGTGTAGCAGGAATCTTAACAGGTCTTATTAATAAAAACAAACCTGAAGCAGGTATTAGGGTGAATGCTGGAAGATCAGAGAAGTAGGACAAGCCACAGCTACCTCATCTTGTCAATTCCTCAGCTGATCCTGTTTCCTCAGACTGAGAAGCCTGTGTCCTCATCCAAATGGATCTCAGCTGAACTGCTACTCAAAAGCCTGAAAGCTTAACCAGCCTACTTCCTGGTTTTCACGCCTTATATACCTTTCTGCTTTCTACCCTCAATTCCTGGGATTAAAGGCGTGAGTCACCATACCTGGCTGTTTCCAATGTGGCCTTGAACTCACAGAGATCCAAACAGATTTCTGCCTCGGGAATGCTAGGATTAAAGGCGTGAGTGCCACCATTTTCTAGCCTCTGTATCTAGTGGCTGTTCTGTTCTCTGACCCCAGATAAGTTTATTAGGGTGCACAATATTTTGGGGAACACAATATCATCACAGAGAGGTCAAGTTACTTGCTTGAGATAGACAGCTCTTGGATAGTAAGGATTTAAGTTTATTTGGCTTCAATACAATATCTGAAGTAATCCTATGCCTTGGACCAATCAAGATTTATTACCAATATGAATGTGTAATATTAATTAGAATGTATATATATACCTATATGTATACATTGTATAGAAAACAGCCAAGTAATAATTCCAGTTTTTAATCCCAAAGATGGATTAGTAGTAAATAGCATATTGGGCAGGGTGGTGCACACTTTAATCCCAGCACTCGGGAGACAGAGGCAGGTGGATCTCTGTGAGTTCAAAGCCAGCCTGGTCTACAAAGCCAGTTCCAGGACACCCAGGGCTGTTATACACAGAAACACTATTTCGAAAAACAAAATAAGAACTATTGGGACTCTATTTTGTTAAGTACTTAGTTTTCCACACAGTACAGGCACTTAGAAATACTCCCCACCACATACTTCCTATCATAGTATATAAGAAATTAGTTCAAGGCCAGGTGTGGTAGCACATGCCTTTAATCCCAGTACTCAGTAGGCAGAAGCAAGCAGATCTCTGTGAGTTCAAGGCTAGCTTGGTCCACAAAGCTAGTTCCAGGACAGCAAGGGCTACACAGAGAAACCTTGTCGCTAAAAAACAAAAACACACAACAAAAAGAAATTAGTTCAGGTTAGAAATTGCTGAATTCGAAGACCCTGACATTAATCCA